AACATATACCGCTTGTATTTTTAAAATATATATATATCAATCCTGATGCATAATCCACATATAAAAATCTAAAATAATAAACAAATTAATTAATTAATTGAGTAGGTTCTCTTCAGTTTATACAAGTCTGAACTGAAATTAAGGGGTTAAACCAGGGGTGCCCAAACTTATTCCCTCAGAGGGCCAAAATGAAAATCTACCCAAAGGCTGCGGGCCAAATGCAATAAGAGGAAATGCTAATACTTCTTAAGTAAAGTGCTTTTACTTTTTATGATTAAACCAAGAGCCAGTGCAGTGGCCCATGTTTTGTTTGTTTGTGTTTTTAATCTGTACACTTGCTCAGGCAGCAAAGGCTCATGGGACATTTCATATATTGATAATGAGTATTTGTAGTCTTATAAAGTTTTCAAATCTACATGTGTGCTTAAATCTAATGTAAATATCTTCTTTGGTTTCTTGTATTTTATTCATAATCTTATTATAATTCAGTGACAAAGTCAGCTATCTGTGCTACAGTCCCTTATTTAGTCATTGGGCCATTGGATGTAATTACTGTACATGGAAATACAGAGTTTCTACAGAGGATGACAGGCAATTAAAAACTACTGGTGGGCCAAATCAAATAGTTTGGCGGGCCAATTTTGGCCCGCAGGCCCCACTTTGGGCACCTCTGGGTTAAAGGTTATTTATGCTCCTGTTTGGTACCCATTCCTGTTATGGATAATTTGTCTCACAGCTCCCTCTTGAACATTCATCTATGAATTCTAAAGGTTTACCTAGTTTTTTTTGTTTTTTTATTTGCTTCAATTGTGTCTTTGTTTTAACGAAGAGGCCCACCTGTGACAAAGTACCTTGGCAACAAGTTGTTCAGGAAACTCTTGAAATTTGATTTTGCTTTTCATAGTGGGTAATTGCCTCCCACAGCAGACAAGTGTGGGTCAGCTCTAACTGCTGGCAGGAAGTGGGCCAGGCATGGCAATGATGGTACAGTTTTTAAGATGGCCTGCCACAGCTGGCCTGCTCAAGGTTTGGTTTACGTTGCCCATAATGGACCACCTCTGGCCAACCAGATCTGGGCCACCAAAGGGTCGTCATTGTTATTTGGGCCGTGTCGATGCAGTGTGTTGTCCAGAACAGGGCCAGAAAGAATTTGCCATGTGGGACATTTTTGATGAAGCTACTGATATTTTCTGTACTTGTCTGTCTGATGCAGATTTCTGGCTCCAGTGATGCCATGTTTCTAACGGACCGGGCCTCTGAGAGCCAAAACAAAATCCATTTGAACTTCTTCACCATGGAGAGAGGAGAGAAAGTGCCGCTCATGCTCCAGCAGGGGACTCAGTGCTGCTCTTAATTACCACACTGCTTCTTCAGGCTGGATACAATTACATTTTAATGCAAAAAGAGTTAACTTTCATCTCTTTCTCTATCCCTTCCTAAACATGTAATCTGCAACTAATCTGCTTGACCAGATCTAACGTGCTGTGGTGTTTATCAGAAAYAATTTGAAATCATTTGAAATGGTGCTTTTGCCACCGGTGTTCAGCCAGAGGCCACATGATGTGGATGATAATCTATTATTGAGCTGCAGTATGAGAAATGGCTGAAGTGCAGCTCATGTTTTAAGAAGCAGGCATGATTTATGTAAGCTGTGAAAAAAATCATCTATTTGTGGTCCCCCCCCCC